GGTGGCTTGGGGGCTTTTCGGGAGGAAGGATCGGGAAGAAGACAGAGCAGACCCGCGTGAAAATGAGGAAGAAAAGAAAAATATCTAAGCTTAATCCTTATCCTAATTTGTTTTCTTTTTAGTCCCTAAACTGTGAAAAGTTTTGCCATTAAGTTCATTAATAGTATTTCTTCACAATTAGGTCCCTAACTCTCACTTGATGCTCTAGAAATTTTGGGGGTATTACACTTAGTTAGCTAAATTAATTCATAATAAATATTACAAGTTGAAATCATATTTATGGACCAATAATCTATATCAAAATAAAGAATAAAATCAAGAAAAAGTAAAATTCAATTTAAAGATATTAATTAACTTCTTGATCTTTTATTGTTAATCAAAAGCCTTCCAATATTTCTCTCAATTCTTATCTTGAATGAGTATTTATATGATTTGAAGAACCCCTAAGAGTAAAAGAAGTGGCACACATACCAAATAACAAGGACTCGATGCTGAAAATTAACCATGGAGATGACATCCTACACCAAAGGGCCGACACCTTCACTGACGCGTGAAACAGAGTTCGAGTCGGGATTTTGGCCCTTGAAGTGATTCTGGTTAATGACAAAATTACAGAACTGGTCCCTAACTTCTGGTTTCTATACATTTTAATCCTTAAGTGACTGATCTCTACTGTTTGATCCTAAAAGTTATGATTTTTTTCCAATTAAATCCTCTTTTCTACATCATGAATGAACATTTTTTAAAATTAAGTAAAATCCCATTCAAATATTAATAATATCAAGATAAAAATTTCACATTAATACCTATGAAATTCCAACTTCTCACAATATATTTTGTATTTATTTACATAGGCTTATGTATTTATTTGATTTTAAACCCAATTAAAAAAACCAAACATTTATTTACATTCGCAATGCATTCTTTCAAGTCTAGACCAAACTAAATAATCATTTGACCAATTTAGTCAAATAAAAAAAATAATCATTTGAAGTCTAGGTCATATACTATATGTACATTGAAAAACATAGGTATTTTGTTGATAAAAACATTGGTATATTGATAATGAAAAAGTACATTTTAGTTTTGACTATCAATAAAAATTGAAATCCTGAATCCATGACATTATTTCTCTTAATTTAAAATTTAATCCTACCCCTACCATTTTCACCCCTTTTGTAGCTGTAATTTACCATCTCCACTACCTCCTCCTACGATTCAATGAACTTTGTTTGACACAATCCTTGCTGATCGTGACAGAGAAGGAATCAAAGGAGACAACCTTATAAAAGTCAACGATTTACGCTTTTCCTTCTTTGGCAACTACGCAAACGGTAAGTTCTTTGTTTTCTTGCACCAATTCTTTGTTGAATTTGAAAAAGAGAAGATTGATTTTAGGAATTGTTTGTTTATTCTATTAAATTCGGTAACAAAGCCATATTTTTCAAGTTCTTGGTTGTTAGATGACTAGAACAATTTTTTAACGCCGAATTCTACTTTTTTTTCTTCACTTTTGAATTAGTCTCGTATTCTAATTATTTATAAAACTGCTGTAATAACAATATTTTTTAAAATTTTTAAATAAATACCCATTAGATTTTAAAAAAATCCTTAATAAATATTTAGTGAATTAAAAAAAAAATTTCAATAAATATTTAATGAGTTTTTTTTAAATATCTATTAAATAATAATTCAAATCTAACATCTATTAATATTGAAATATATCAAACTTTAATAATATTAAATTTTATTCACGCTTCTTTATTAATAGGATTTAACTTTAATATATATTTTTAACATTTTTCCAAATATATAACATTAGGATTACAGTTTATATAAAATAAGTAGATGTATGGACATAAGAAAAAAGCAAAGAAAAAGTAATCACCACCGGGAAGGGAAAAAAGAGAGAAAAAAAAAATACCTGAGATGAATACTAAGGGCTTTAAATTCGTCCTTTTTTTTTTGAAGTCTAGGTAGATTTTGTTAAAGAATAATCCATTAAACTAATTAATTTCTAAGGCAATAATTGGTACACATTTCAATTCAGCACACTCCACAACATACTCATTAAAAAATGATTATTTCTTAATTTGAAATTAAAGATAAACAAGTTTAAAAATACAATTATGCACACATAATGTAAGAACCGACTGAATGAATTATATTTATATTATATTTTTAATGATTGAACTAAAGTGTGTCAGAAAATATATTGAACTGAGAATGTATAGATCATTTTCTTAATTTCTATGATTGTTTTCTTCTTTTTTTTTTGCCAAAGTTTTGTGTTTGTTTGGTTTTATTCTTATGATCATTAATTTTTAAATGAAAAAAAAGGAAAAATCAGGATGTATTAGTATTAAAAATATCAATATGTCTAATAATAGCTAAATGATGAATTTGATAAAGTTAGAGGCCACACTATACCCTACACATTTAATAGTTGTAATTGGACATTCTGATATCTTTAATGTTAGAACATCTTGATTTTCTCTTTTCTCTTTTTAAATTCTTACATGAACAATTAAATTTATGTAACTTTTTTTAGATAATACTGTGATTTGATTAACTTCGTGGGGATTCTCCATTAATATAAAGGTTTTTTTTTTTTTTTTTTTTGTAGCAAAATGACAAATATTGACATATTTTAATAATTAATATAGTTTGTTATGGATTGTTTTGTTAACTGAGTTATTTTGTGTTGATTTTGATTTAACTTTTCTGTTATTTTTTTGGTTAAAACTAATAGAATTTCTATACAATA